ATTTTATTATTTTATTTCTGATTTGAAAAGTTTTGAATAAGTTAGATTTCAACATTTTCAATTGTATTTATTGGTACTTATAACAGATTATATAATATAGAAATATTCATACATTTTCACTAAATAGCAAAATAACATATGAGTAGAGTGTAAATCGACTATTGAAAAAGTGAAGTCCCTAATCAATCAAATTAATCTAATCAAATTAAATTATACATCTTTGTTATACATGATATTAACCTTTACATTAATGTGAAGGAATACATATAAAATTAATATTGCAAGATTACTTGCAAAAGTATATTACGTATAAACATTTGCGTATTTCTACTAATAATATCAATTAAATCAGGAATGATTTAAAATATGTAGTAATTATAATAATAAGAATTATATCTAATAATCTTAGGAATTTAATAATCTGAAATAGTTACATTTGGTAACCTCATGATATTAAAAATGATAATTTGAAAAATATTTTTAATCTTTATTAATAGATTTGTGTATAATAGTCATCATAGGCACGCTTTTAAACCATGAATTTAAACATAGTAAACTACGACTCGACATTCAATTTGTATGTTTTCTTATTACCTCTTACGACATGATAGTCAAACAGTCACAAGGGCCCTGCTTAAAAAAATCAAGAAATTTCAAAAAATTCAAGATTCTTGAATTCAAGACTAGAAATATAATATCAAGAAATGATCAAGATGAGAAAAACGAAATTTCTTATCTTGAAAATCAAGACAAGACAAGAAATGCTCTTTAAGACAAGAAATCTTGTCTTGATGAAACACTGCTATCAAAATTATCCTGTTTTATTCTATCAGAAATTTGATAAGGATGACCGACTACTCGTTCAATTTGTCTTTTAACGAACGGGAGATAAATTTAAAAATCAATAGACACGCCACTCGTTTTGCATGACTCGCGTGCGTACACGCGTTCATTGCGAGCTACACGCGACACTGCGGGAGTGGCTCGCGGGCGCGCCCTATGCAGCAGGTTTGCCGCACCTCGCCTGCATGCATCTGCCTGTATCAGGGTATCGATGCACTCGGGAGATCGGCAAATCTAAGACCGTGCAACTGGTGTCCAATGGCGTGTCAGCAGTCGCTACACATTGGCGAGCGAGCGAGGTGAGGCGCGCGCCCGCGCCAGCCGGAACGAAGAGTGAAAGATTTTGCTTGCTTATTTCTTTAGTCGCACCTCCCCTCATAACGACAGTCAATACTCTATCAGAATTCTGCGTATAAGAATACAGAAAGCGCATTTAACGATATACAAGCGGAATAATTGCAAACGAAGTCACAAAAGTATATCCTTAATTCATTAATGTTCATTAATTTCTACTCCAGTTGTAGATTAATCTTAATCTCGGTTTAACTTTCTTTCCATTCTTAGAATTAAAAAAAGATAAACAGTAAGATAAACTGAAATTAAAATTAAGTTACAAGAGTTAGTAGAAACAGTTAGTAGAAACAGGCATAGGTTAGATATATATTTCTTAATCAAGGGAAAACATCTACCTCTTTAAAGAGATATGCAGGACGAAAGTTGGGATCTCAAACTCGGAACCCGTCGATTACAAATTGAAGGATTGAATATAACGTATGCCACGCGTCGTCTCGAGTAATGTTTTAAGACTAATTACAACAAGGGATCCAACATGTTTTATTAACATCGTTAGATGTTAAAGAGAGTTACCTCGCTCATTATAAGTGCAGCAAGTGTCGAGTTTTTATATACAAAATAATTAAAGAAATTATATCGTTTGATAATATTAACATGAATTAAATAAAAATGAAAATGAAATTTTAATGTTCATTAAAGCCAATTTTAATTGACTATGTTTTACAAAAATCCAAAAACTCGTGCTAATTGACAAAACCGTCGAACTATCAGTTGTTATTTTACGTGCATAAATTTTTCAGATTATCACTCTAGTGACCAATATGCTCGATGAATACAAAAATTTGTAATTGAATTCTAAATTGTATTTATTCAAAAAAAAATTTTCACATAAAGAAAATGTAATCATATATTCATTCAAAAGTATGAGTTTTCAAAAAATATTTATTCACAAAAAACTATGAATATTTAACGAGTATTCATATTCATTCAAACAAAATATAAACTGAAAAAAAAGCTCCAATAAGCAATCGTTAACTCTTAATTTAAACGGTACTTTAATGACTTTAAGTAAAAAAAATGAATTTTATTTATTTTTGACATTGTAATATTCAGATTTTATAAAGGAAACTTAGAAATTTGAAAAATATTTTAGAAAGATATACATTTTTATTTATAAATCTATCCATTTGATAGAGCGCCATACATATTTCGATATAATTCCGGTTATATGACAATAATGTTATAAATATTTTATAGAATATCTTGAGCGCGACATTATGGTTTGTGGACATTAAATTCCTAGATATATTATTTATTCTCAATAGAAATATCTTTGTTTAATCTATAAGTTAAACAAGGTCGCCCATCGTATAAATTGCGGATCAAACGCGCGATGTAATCGCGTAGCCATTGTTTTATATTATAGATTTCTTTTATAGACTTGCAAGCTATGTATAGGTAATACAGAGTAAAAGTGAATACGAAATGAAAATATTCGTATTCACTTTTACTCTATTCATATTAAAAAAACATTCATTCAAATGGAATGAAAAAATATTTATTCGTTTCTTAACAAATAAAAAAGAAATGTATTCGAATGAGTGTTTTCATTCATTTTTTATTCATTTATTCGAAGGTGCATTCATTGGAAATACTAATAGTGACGATTAAATAAAGTGATATGTTTTAGGTGGATTTGAACCCGGATCTTTGATTCACAGAGAGCAGACACGAAACTCTCTATGCCACGATCGCCACAAGAGTGAACGATGAAGAAGCCCGGACTGTCCGGGGAGAAAAGACGACGGTAAGGCCCCGAAGAAGAGAAGAAGGGGAGAGGTGGAATGCGCGCGGTTCTCGAAGGAGGAGCTGTCGGCGGTGAAAAATCACGCACCCCGCCACGGCTGGAGCGCAGCATCTGCTCTACATACCCTGGCTCTCAACCTATGTATCTACCTACACGCATCATCGTCGATCGACGATCTGTGAAAATCGCTCAATCGATGACCTCGAAGCGCACCTTCGCACCCGTGGTACGTGCGATAATCGATTCCCCGGTGCACGTTCTCCGTATGCTCCTCGAAATAATTGTGTCGCGCGGGATAATTATAACTTTCACAGATTATGAACGCGCCATTCTCTTTGCAATACGTATATTCTTTGATAATAAATCTACTCCGTTCTCGAGTCGACAAATTTGCTAATAAAAATGAAAAAAACTTTTCCAGCAAGTCGAATAGATTTAGATGGTGTACTATAAATTCAATTGTGTTAAAAGTGACTATAATACATGTATATATGTGTATAATTAGTATAGTGTAGAGTTAGTTTTTGTGTGAAAATGACGCTCTATGTATATAGTACAGGTTTGAATGTAAATCCATTTTTGTATGCAGTATAATGTGTTATTTTTACACAAAAAATTAATTATACTCATAGTATAGTGCAGTCACTTTTACACACATGGATTTGCAGTGTTTTATATAATAGCTCAATAAACGTGTAATTAATTAATATAATGTCATTTCTCTACAGATAATTCAAAATCTGTCTATTTCATCTGTCTATTTCATACTTTTTATGAAATACCGACTGGTGAGAAAGTCTTACTTTTGCAATTTTTTATTTACGACTTACGTCACCGCTTCGCGCTTAATGAATCGTTTCTTGTGTCCGTACATCCAAGCTGTCGTGGATAATCGTAGCTATTTTTAAAATCTCTCGCACGCGATCATTGGGGCTTCCGCGAAGACGCGGGAGAGCTCATCAATGAGAACCTCGAAGAATCGGAGTAGCAGAGCAAGATATACGTGTGCTGGCTGAGCTACCGGTCGGTCGGGTTGGGTCGCTGTTCTTCTGTGTTTCACATCTCTCTCTCTCTCTCTCTCTCTCTCTCTCTCTCTCTCTCTCTCTCTCTCTCTCTCTCTCTCTCTCTCTCTTTCTCTGTCTATTTGCTCGCTCTTCTCTTGCTGCCTTCCTCTTTTCACCTCCCGACTTATCCTGCTCGCTTTCGCCCTTTCTATCCCGCGACTGTTCCTCTCTGTCTCCACCGCTGCCGCTCACTCTCGTGAGTTGTTGTTCGGCTGTTTTATTACTTTTATAAATGCCGCCGCTACGATGCTACTACTACCACTTGCTCGCGAATCGGCGCGGCAGGCGTTTCCTTTGTTGGTCGCCACCACGCTCCCATTGTTGCTTGCAGAAAGATGCGAATTTTAATTTGATATTGTCTAATATTATTTATGTATGCGGTTAGAGAATCCTGCGGAAAGATGCCGCTCGCACGGACTCACATCTTGTGCCGTTTCTTCCATTCAATGAGAAATCATAGTCGTATCTATCTCAACGACTTAGCTTCGCATGAAAGCTCTTGTTCTTTCGTTCTCCATGCGGAGTCGCCCAAATCCGATTTCGTAAACATTATTTGAGTTTAATTCTTTTTCACGTATAATTCTTCTTACAGCAAAAAATTCAGCAACGAATATATTATTCAATAACTGTTTTATTATTTAACATTATCGATTTCAACATGCAGCACGTGATGAATTTTCCCTCAGAGTTTTCTCTCGCAAACTTATTTTTTAAGAAAAAAATCTTACCTCCTTCCTTTCCCCCTAATAATGTCTGACCTATTGTGCAAGTATTCTTAGCCGTCCTTCAATATGCTCAAAACCCCGTGGCACATTATCACGTCCCGTTCACCATAAGCGTAATCTAATTACCGGCATGTGCGAAGTGTCCGCCAACGAGGCATTAGACTTGCGCGTACGTGCTCAGTTCGCCTAAAGAAATCAATATTACAGCAATCCAGGTTCACGCTGCGAACTGCTTTGTACGACGGTACGCGCAACAGTTGCGTCGAGACAAGACACGAAGAGGTACAAGAATTGAATGCACCATCGCGTACCGACATCCAAGTTATTCAATCAACAAAAATAAATCGGAAAGTGCGTCCTCGGAGTTTTGGTTAATCAACAATTTGCAATGAATTGGTTGACTCTCAATTGGAAATCTACTTCGAATGCCGTCTAACACATCTCGCGTTGCCATGGAAATCCGCGAAAATGACTACACTGGTCCTGGACTAAAAATATTTAGGTAAACAACGTGGTACCATATATACTTTGTCAGGATGACAGAGAAACGACTGTCGTTGGGCATCAATGTAAGCATTTTACTAATACTGACGATATTTGGCGTGCTTCTGTCTTTGCCTTTGCGATTGTTGTTCGACACGAATTACTCCGAGCAGAATCACGGAGATGAAAGTGGTGTCAGTGACCCGGGCGAGAAAGGAAAAGAATCCGCGATACCGATAGATCATCGAAAATTAAAGCGCTGTCCGAATCTACAGTATGAGGATCGCTTGATGTCCGTCTTTATGAGCGATTACGACGGAAATTGCACGTACGTGCAAGACGAGAGCGACGATGACGAAGATGACGATGATGATGACAGCGACTCTGAAGAGGAAGAGGATAGTAGAGAGGATGAGGACGATGAGGAGGAGGAAACACACAAGTCCAAGAAGAGCATCGAAGAAATGAAAGAAAGCGCTGAAGAGATCTTGAAGTCGCGTCAAATGAAGTCCGTCACGGTGGCAGGCCACATACTCGTGACGATGTTGCTCGTATCAGTAATAGCTGCCCTCGTTGAAGTACTGCGAATACGCTTCGCCAGAGAAAAAGTATTGCGTCACATATTACAGAAGTCCTTAAGCGCTTGCGTTGGAACTTGGTATCCTTAAAGCGTAAGATATGTCTGTCAAGACGTACATTATTGAAAAATTTCACTTCAAGAATGTACATTTTTTTAGAATCTACCATTTGCTTCTTGAAAATAGTACAATATAATTTTCAAAAGATCTTCTAATTATTCAAAATAATTCTAATTATTCTAAATAAAATCATCATTTTAATTCTATAATTCGAAGATACTTTATTTCAACGTAAGCAATTAACTATACCTACTATCCTTGATTATTTGAGCACATTATGCACGATTTGCACTCAACTATATCGCCAGATATAAATTTAATCCCAGATTGAGCTAGATTCTTTGTTGTTTGCACCATTGGAGAATAAATTGCGATATTCGGCAGAGACCGACGGGATAAGCGCTTCGCTGTTTTCCTCGCGGAGCTATAAGTAAAAACCGTCTCTCGATGCTCGGATAGACACGCATTCGTGAAACTATTGCACCTTCTCTTTTCAAAAATGCATAAGGATTCGTCTAGGGCAGGCACGATTATTTCACGGAGAAGTTGCTCCTCCAACGTGGACATATCCGCCATAAGACGTCCCATTTCAAGAGAATTAATTAGAAGCTATAAGTCCTTTGATATACCAGGAGTGCATCATTCCACACTGCGTCTGTTAGGTATGTGTATAAAGTAATAAAGAATCATACAACCTTGGCCAAAAATATTAGATACATTATTTAACATTTTAGTTCAAAAATTGATTTATAGCATTTGCTGTGAATTATCCTTTTCTTTCAATAAGTCTTTAAATTTATGTATATACTCGATAATTAATAGGATATACAGATAAAAGAATTTCAAATTAATGAAAAAAGGTAAGTGCCTAAGATTTTTGGCCAAGACTATAATCTTTAAGTACACAGATATTTATCATAATTAAGGAGATCTAAAAAAAATATGTGAAATATACAGAAAGTTAATAAATTTCTATGAACAAAATTATCTTGTGGGGATCCTTAACGAAATTGAATGATCAGAGGTTTCAATTTTGATACTTCCCATGTATTTGCCTTTGCAATATTCTATATTGTGCTCCAGATATTTATCTATATCTTTAACAAAAAATAAATAATTAATCAAAAATATCATAAAGAATAATAAAATTTATATATTTTGACTAAACAGAAAATAAATATTTTAATGACATCTTCGATGATTGAGATACTAGCAAGTGTTGCTGGCACAATGCGGAAGATTGCGATCGGAGTATGAGACCGTTTTAATCCGATTAGTAATGGTAAGACGATAAAATTTAATTATCCATTCTTAGGAGCGCGGCCGCCCCCGCTTATCCGTCGCTCCTCATTTCCAACACCACAAGCAAAGAAAACCGCTACTTCATCTCTTTGCGGTACACCGAGTAAAGGGCTGACGCGGCGCCAATCGGCTGAATCAGAAGAAGAAATCAGGATTGTTACTAACACTCTTCATCATCGCACTCGTCTGATTCGACGCCATTAAAGCGACGAAACAAGGTGAAGATTATTAACTCTTTGAGGTCCAAATTATTTCTCGCAAATTAGTAAAAATCAAATATTTCGTCTTCTATTTAACCTAATCAGTAGACAGCGGATATAATGTAAATTGAAGAATTTTTATTATTTATCACAGAAAGAATGATTTTGCTGAAAAATTAAAAAATTTAGTTAGATATAGATCTGAAAATAATTATGTTAGAAAAATTTTTAGGTATAGAAAAAATTGATTGCTAGAATATAAAAATTTTAAATTTTTCAGCAAAATCATTCTCTCCATATAGAGGAATTTATGAAGCTCTCAAAACTTTCTACTGCTTATAATCATGCAATAATTCGAAAAACTATCACAAAGTACAATGCTGAATCCAACGATCATCGAATTGTAACTGAGCTGATTAACCATATTTGGAAGCTTGATAAAATCTTGAATTTTCTTTTAAAGATAAACGATAAATTGTATGACATAACAAACTCTCTCAGATAATCAATAAATCCTCTCTTTTCAGTATACATCAATCCATCAAATTCCTTGTATCTACATTGGTGACAAAATTAACAGGGTATACGTCTTCTACTATACGGTATGGTCTCTCACGTGATAGTTCTTATACAATTAGATAAAGAGTTATCAACCAAAAGATTGTAACTTCAAAAGATATACATATAGATAAGTATTGTCAACAGGTAACATGCAACGCACAATGATCACATCCAATGATCTTTCTTACGCTTGCACAACGTCGAAAAATTTAAGGAACAGATCTTCCAACGCATCCCTTACGGCGGCTTCAATAGTGCTCCATTTTCGCGACGCTTTTATATCACGCTGTTCATTAAGTTCTGCTTTCTAGCCAGGCACTCTTTGAAATATTTAAGATTACATTGATTAATATACAGAATCAATTTTCAGGATCAAAAACTATCGCGTGAGCTACGGTGGAAAGCTGAATTACTACAGCACATGCCTGGACTAACATGTTTTAATAAAGTATAATTTCTATATTTTTTTCCATATTCGTACAACATGCTTTAAGATTATTTAATCAAATGAAAGTAACTACAATTAATCTAACTTAACTTTTAATAAATTATCAATCTTCTTATCGCGCAATAATATTTGTTCCTAATGAACGTTTTAGAAATGTATGAGAAGCCAAATGTATATTCTTAAATTCAACTAAGGGTGCAGTCTTATAGTTTGATGCTATACAAATACTTCAAAGTATTTGATTGACCAAAAATTAATCATTTAGAAAAAAGAATTTCACTAATCAATTAATGAAAAAATACTTTGAAGCATTTATAGCATCAAGTGTACTGTAGCCTAAATTAATAATGTAGCAAAACTTTCATTTGAGATAAACTAAGAAAAATTATTTTTTTTTAAACACTTCTCTGATGAATGTGTGTGTGTGTGCGTGTGTGTGCGTGTGCGTGTTCGTGTGTGCGTGTGTGTGTAAACTTTTTTGAAGGCACTCGAATTAAATAGAATATAAATATATATGCACTTATCAAACTGACAGTACAACGATCGAACATCCTTATCTATGTGACTTCTATAATTTTCTTTAGGAATGTACCGGATCGTAAAATTATCAAATACCGGATATCGAAAATTTCTCTGGATATTCGATTGGATATCTGGAACAAGATTTCCAAAAAAAGAAAAAAAGCGATAATAAATTTTTTTATCTTTTCATAAAAAGAAAAAGCGGAAAGAGAACTATACAAGAAATTCAGCTGGCAAGAATAAAATTCTGCATCACAATGACTTTCAATATAAAATTTCAGCCGGAGAGAGAGAGAGAGAGAGAGAGAGAGAGAGAGAGAGTGTGTGTGTGTGTGTGTGTGTGTGTGTGTGTGTGTGTGTGTGTGTGTGTGTGTGTGTGTGTGTGTGTTATATCCGATCGGATAGTAAAAAATACCGGATATAAAATACTGAATATTTCCTGAATATCCAGTGCACCTCCAATTTTCTTAACGCATTTATTATATCTATTAATATATTATACTCAGAAAGAATTATAAAGATCATTTTTTGTCTCTACAAAAAGTCTCTACAAAAAGTCATAATAATAAACTTAAAATACAAATATTGTAATTTTCTAAGAATGTATGTACATAAATTTTAAAAAATAATTCCGATGTATTTTCGTAAAATGTTATTGTATTTCTGCTTCGACGGATCTTCAACAAGCTTACATAACTTCTATAAACTGATCATTGTCTCTCTTTCATGTGATATGTACAATTGGTGTCACATTAAGTTTGATCAATTGTGCATATACACAGTCATTGCAACTGAATGTTGTGTTGGCACAGTTAATCAGTTTTATTCACTACAAATAACAAAAAATTTTATTAATAATTTTATTAATAATAATTTTATTAAATTCAATTAAATAAATTTTTTGAAATT